TCATCTATAATGAAAAGGACATCTTTTTTGGGTGTTAGTTCTCGAAGGTCTTGTAGGTCTTCATAGAAGCGTTCAACTTCAGCTTCTTTAGCATTACTGGTCTGGGCAGAGACTTTGGATTACTGTGCTGTTGGATGGTTTGCCTTGGAAATGAACAGAGATCATTCTGTCATTCTTGAGATTGCATCCAAGTACTGCATTTCAGACTCTTTTGTTGACTATGATGGCTACTCCATTTCTTCTATGGGATTCTTGCCCACAGTAGTAGATATAATGGTCATGAGTTAAATTCACCCATTCCAGTCCATTTTAGTTCACTGATTCCTAAATTGTTGATGTTCACTCTTGCCATCTCCTGTTTGACCACTTCCAATTTGCCTTCATTCGTGGACCTAACAATCCATGTTCCTATGCAATATTGCTCTTTACAGAATCAGACTTTACTTCCATCACCAGTCACATCCACATCCCCAGTGATTGGTGATATTGAAAACTTTTCCATGTACTTGTTGGGCATTAGTGTGTTTCCTTTGGAGAAATATCTGTTTAAGTCTTCTTCCCATTTTTTTTGTCAGTTTGGGGTTTTTTTGTTTGTTTTGCTTTTTGCTGTTGAGTTGTTTGAGTTCCTTATCTATTTGGGGAATTAACCCCTTATCAGATGGGTGCTTTACAAATACTTTCCACCAATTGTAGATTGTCTTTTTATTTTGTTGTTTCTTTTGCTGTGTAGAAACCTTTTAGTTTGATATAGTCTTACTTTTTGATTTTTGGTTTTGTTGTCATATCCAAAATGACTGTCAGGGAGCTTTTTCCATGTTTTTTTTTCCTAGGAGTTTTATGGTTTCAGGTCTTACATTTAAGTCGTTAATCCATTTTGCGTTAGTTTTTGTGGCTGATATAAGATATGGGTCCAATTTCATTTTTTTGCTTGTGGATATCCAGTTTTCCCAACATCATTTAAGAGACTATCCTTTCTGCATTGAATATTCTTGGCCCCCCAAGGCTTTTTCTTATCCAGCTAGGTAAATAACTTCCAAATGCAGTTCTTCGCCCTAATGACTTTCAGGAGGCTAAGGGAAGTTTTGCTTCCCTGAGGGCTGGGCCAGCCTGGATCTGTTCGGTAGCTCCTGCAGAACTTAAAAGAATGTCTCAGAGCTGAGATGTACTTGTGTGTGGTGGGGCAGTGGGTGATGTCAGAGGAGGGCCACCACTAGAATAGAACTGCCAGTGGGGATCACGTGGAACTAGACCTATTTAGACTGAAGGGGCTGTTTACTTCAACCAGGAATTCACTATGCTCATAGCTACTGGGGGAAGAAGGAAGGGGGACAGGCATCTTTATGTCTCCTGGACTGATCAAGCTTATTAGAGCAGTGCTCTGTAGCTTGGGAGAGAAGTTCTCAGGGACAGCTTCTTTCTGTTCCAGTGGTCCCAGTAGTCACCGCTCTGATAGAACGAGCGGTGGTGTCTTGTGGAAGACAGGGTATAGGAGAGGAAGGGTGCCTGATTCTAAAGGATGGGGCATGGTGTGGGGAAGGGAGAGAGGAAGACTCTCCATATTCTCCTCTGACTCTCACTATCTTTCACCATCTTCTCGGGAATAAGAATCAGGAGCTGCCTCCAGAGGAACAGGGGCCCAGCATTAGGAACCTGGATTTCTGGCCCAAACTCATCACACTCATTGTGTCAATCATAGAGGAAGATAAGAATTCCTACACCCTCGTTCTGAACCAGTAAGTGTCACCTCACTTGGCCTTTCTGTTTGATGGTTGGTTTGTCCCCCTGTCTAACAGCCTCTTTCTTTCCTGTCTCTGTGTGTTCACAGTGCCACCTCTTCCTCCTGTTCGTCCATCTGTCCCTCTGTCCCTTGTATCTGTCTGGGTAACTCTTTCTGGAGACAGGTGTGGAAACATAATGAGGGGCCCTGCCCAGACTGAGCCAGCCTCCCTGGAGAAAGACCTCTGGGAGTGGCTGCCCTCGGCGTCCCTGGGGATCCAGAGACCAGGCGTGCATGGTCTGTCGACTGTAAATAAAGAGAGCCTTCTGATGCCCAACTTTTGCTCCTTCTGCTAGCTTATTTAGCCTGGGCTTGTCTTTCAGCCTCAACCCTTCTCCTCCTGGCCAGAGTTCCCTGCCTTCTAGGCATCATCTCCCATAGGGCCACCTTGCCTGAGGGGATCCTCTGCCCCAATGTGTCCCTCTGCCTACCACTGGCCCTGGGTCCTTATTCTTCAGTTGGAGCCTGGCCCTGTTTCCTAGGCTTCTCCTCTCTTCAATCTGACCTTCAAGAACTAGTCCTATTGGCCTTAGAATTAATCAAATCAAATGCCTCTGCCGTATTCTCTGACTGTGTCTTCTTCCATCATCCAGGTTTCCCCAGGAGTTGAATGTGGGAAAAGTCAGCGCAGAAGTGATGTGGCAACTCTTTGCCCAAGACATGAAATATGCACTGGAGGGTAAGGGTGTGCCCATGGCAGTGGGCTGCCAACCCCTAGCCAAAGCACCTATTTGCCATCCCTGTATTCTCCCAGACAACTGTATGTTCTAGGTGAATAGTTCAGTGAGAAACTAGAGGGATTCTAGGCATAGTGGGTGATAGGCCTCAGGAGACCTTGGGTAGGTAAAGCTTCAGCCAAAGGAGTAATGGAAATTGCTGTGTGGATGTAGGTTCCTCCTTCCAGCTCCAGAGGAAGTACCTATTTCACACTTTCCCAGCCCAGAGATCAACTCTTCCCATGCTAGCTGTTCTCAAGTGGCCCACTCCCTAGGGGATAGTCTTATGACACTTGCCTTTACAGTTTTACAGAATCATGAAACTTTAAATACATAGGTAAGATTATTTTCTCACACCGTAGACTGCCTGGCCTGACTTTCTTTGAAAGTTGTTCTAGACTGGCATGAAAAACCCAGAAAGATACTTCTTCCTTCACTTCTTCCATGGAACCAGTTGTTACTCATCTTGTTCATTCTGCTTATTCTTCTGTTCATTTCCCACTTTGGCCCACAAAGAGATCACCCCCTACCTGTGTCAGACCTTCCTGTTTCTCCCCATCTGTGCTCACTTGGCTGCATTTCCTGTCGCTGTATGCTATGCTAGTCGTCTCCTCAATCTGTGAAAGTGGACCTGGATGGAGGGGGAGCAGTCTGGAGCAAGGACAAACCAGAGTCTGCGTGTGTTATCTGGGTAGGGTGGGAGGAAACGGGTAACCCTCTCAGACTTTTACACGTTTGAGGTTTAGGAGTAGTACATTTTGATGTTGAAAGAAATCTTGCAGATCTGTGCTTAGTTTGAGACAGTCACGAGCTGTCCGGGCACGTTCTGTAACTCTTACCCGGAGCAGGCTGCCTCCTGTCCACGCTGGGTCATGCCTGGGGCTGCAGCCCATGCTTTAGCGGTCCAGCCTCTGACTTGGTCACATGTCCCTTTCCCCCAGGCAGCACGTGGTGAGTGTGATGGGGAGTATTGCCCCAGTTCTTCAAGAACTCCAGCTCTAGTGGATTTGGTGGGAAGCGGGGGCGGGAAGACAAGTACCTGTGAAAAGTGTATTGATTCCACAGGAGGAAGAGTGTAAGGCTGGGCAGAGGTTTTTCAAATTAGACTGCCTGGCCTGACTTTCTTTGAAAGTTGTTCTAGACTGGCATGAAAAACCCAGAAAGATACTTCTTCCTTCACTTCTTCCATGGAACCAGTTGTTACTCATCTTGTTCATTCTGCTTATTCTTCTGTTCATTTCCCACTTTGGCCCACAAAGAGATCACTCCCTACCTGTGTCAGACCTTCCTGTTTCTCCCCATCTGTGCTCACTCACTTGGCTGCATTTCCTATCGCTGTATGCTATGCTAGTCGTCTCCTCAGTCTGTGAAAGTGGACCTGGATGGAGGGGGAGCAGTCTGGAGCAAGGACAAACCAGACTCTGCGTGTGTTATTTGGGTAGGGTGGGAGGAAACTGGTAACCCTCTCAGACTTTTACACGTTTGAGGTTTAGGAGCAGTACATTTTGAGGTTGAAAGAAATCTTGCAGATCTGTGCTTAGTTTGAGACAGTCACGAGCTGTCCGGGCACGTTCTATAACTCTTCCCCGGAGCAGGCTGCCTCCTGTCCACGCTGGGTCATGCCTGGGGCTGCAGCCCATGCTTTAGCGGTCTGGCCTCTGACTTGGTCACATGTCCCTTTCCCCCAGGCAGCACATGGTGAGTGTGATGGGGAGTATTACCCCAGTTCTTAAAGAACTCCAGCTCTAGTGGATTTGGTGGGAAGCGGGGGCGGGAAGACAAGTACCTGTGAAAAGTGTATTGATTCCACAGGAGGAAGAGTGTAAGGCTGGGCAGAGGTTTTTCAAACAGAGGAAATAAGTAAAAAGGGGAAACGGCGAGAGCAGGGTGGAGGTGGGGGCAGGAGAGGGGCGTGCGGTGCTGGGCTCCAGGACTTCTACCTGCTGCCTGCTAAGTCAGCTCTGCTTTTATCAATTTTATATGAGGCTTTAAATGAAATTTCTTTCAAATGAGGAATTCTGCTGATGTTTAAAATAAACATAAAAGAGTTGAAAACTGCTTTAAAGAAAGAACTCATGTTGACCTGGTTTCAAATCTCAGTTTTACCACTTACTACACAGTGTGTTCTTAGACTAAGCTACTTAACTCTTGTGAGCTCCCATTTTTTTTTCATTTATAAAATGGGGGTGATGATGGCATCTATTTCACTAATGAAGTGGCTGAGATGTATGTGACATACTTAGCATACTGCCTGACATTTATTAAAGGCTCATGAGCAGAGATGGAGTGTTAACACAGTAGTATTTTTATAAGATTTTACCTCAGTGGAAAATGGGGGCAGGCAGAACAGGGAGAGACTGGAAGCTGGGTGCAGACAATGTGATCGTTTATGGCAGGGGGGTGGGCTGGAATTATAGCAGAGAACTTAGAGGAAGAATGGGCTTGGATAGACATCTGAAGGAAGGCTTAGTGACTGTCAGAATGGTGAAGGGCAAGAGAAGGGAAGGGGTTTGGAGATCTGGTTGATAAAAGGATAGTGTTGACTGCTGCTGTTAAAATGCTACCATTCACTCAGCCTTTTGAAAGTCAACTTTATTGAGGTATAATATGCATAAAATAAAATAACACTCTAAGAGTACAATTTGATGAGTTTTGACAAATAAGTACACCTGTGTAACTACTGACCCAGTTAGGATACAGAACAGAAAGTCTCTTCAGTAAATCCCTACCCTGTTCCCCAAGCATATTGAGTACATTCTTTGTGCCACATACTGTGCTAGTTGTTGGAACCCCAGTGAGATAAATGAGGCATAGTCCTAGCCGGTGAGAAGCTCAGATCAGTCTAGATAACAGACCTATACACTGGCAGTTACAGTTCAAACTTAAGTGCTCCCAAGGGAATAAAAATTGGGTGCTGAGAATTGTATAACCCAGACCTGGAAAGAGCACGGGAGGGCTTTCTGTAGGAGGTGATATACTGACTGACACCTGAAGGATGACAGAACTTGGCTGGCGGGGAGGGAAGGCATTCGTGACAGGGAAGGGAGAGACAGACATTTTAGGCAGAGGTTACGGTATATTCGGAGACTTGGGTTCTAGAGAGAGCTGGCATGCTTCGGGAACTGGATTTAGCAGTTCAGTGTGATTAACACTTCAGAGTGTAGGGGAAGAGATGAGTGAGAGGTGAAGACAGAGAAGCAGGATACAGCTAGATCATACAGGAGGTTTTAAGCCATATTTAGGATTTTGGACTCCATCCTGAGGCAGTTGAGAGCCATTGAACAGCAACCCAGGTTAAACAAGGGATTAACATGACCACATTTTTAATATAGAAAAGCCACTTACTCTGGCTACCGTACGGAGAATAGGTTGGAGGAGGACCAGTTTGGAGACTATTATAGTAATCCAGGTTGGAGATGGTGGTGATGAGACCTAGACAGGTACAAGTGTGACTATAAAGAAATGGATAAATTCCAGAGAAGTTTTAGAGGTGAAATTAACAGGCATTGGTGGGTTAAATGGATGTGAATAGATAGGAAGAAGGAAGACTTGAAGGTGATGCTCAGTATTGAACAAGAGGGTGAGATTCATGTGTATACTATGTTCACCTTCAGCTGGAGATGTTAAGATAGCAAAAGATGGTGACTGGAGTTAAACTCAGGCAAAGTGAGATGTTCCATCAAAGACTCGTACAGACATTATCAGAACCAGAGAGAGATCTGGGGGAGACGTCAGCAGTCTGGTAGTTGAAATCACGAGGTTGAAAGAACTCTCCAAGGAGAAAGATGAATGGAGGGAGGAACGTGGAAGTCAGGGGCAGGAGAAGGTTGAGCTACTCAATTGCCCCTTTTTAACAGATCAACCACCCTCTAACACCCCTGCCCCCCAACAATAGCCTCAAGTAACTAGTGGAGCATGACTCCATGAGGCTTGTTAGAATAAAGTGTGGCCAGTGTTTCATCATTCATCCTGTTAGGTTTTGTACCACAGAAGCTAATTAGAAATTAGGGATTCAGGCCAGTGTACAGATTATGGATTGACAGAGCAAGTGAGACTTCTCTGCAAATGCAGTAGCTTGAAGGTGCCTAGAAGAAAAGAATCTGGGAGCGCTGAAGGGATGGAGCAGCACTGCCCCCTGTCCCAGTGGGCTGTTGACCAGAAAGGAGAGCGGGCCCTCCAGGTGGTTCCTTCTTAGTTTCTAGGTTCTTGGCCTGGTTTAAGGACAGCAGTGGGGAGAGGACGGGGCGGCCCGGGGAGGGTCTCTTTGGCATCCCTGACTCGTTCACTTTCTGTATTGCCCGTTGGGTCTCTGCTACGTCACAAGCCTGCACTGCCATTCGCATACGAAAAGTCCTCTTTCCGGGCGGTAAGCACTTTTGGTTGTTGTCTCTTTACCTGTAGCCTCACTCCTTTTTCCTCTTCTCTGGCTCACTGCTTCATAGAAGAGTCTGCAAATGCAACCTCGGGTTGAGGCGGTGCTGCCTGCAGTGCCGGGAGATGACATTCCCGGGACAAAGGAGCCTCTTGAGGCTGAATCCCAGACTCGGGTTTCCTCCCTGGGCGTCTGCTGTTCTGATTCACAAGGGCAGCTGGCTGTTCTGTCTGACATGGAGGAGCAGCAGCCGTGGCAACTCGGAGTTGAGCGGTAGTGTTCCCAAGGACAGCGGCCTTCCCCTCCCTGTCACTCAGCATCCTCCCCATTTTGCTTGCTTTCACCATTATGTTATATGTAAGCACACAGTTGGCTTTTATTATTCAAACAAAATTAATGCTTCATCTCTAAAGGGGGTAGATGAAGAAAACCTGTGGGTATGGCCAGTGCTCTAGACTCTCTGGGCAAGCTGTTGGTGATCTTTATCCTAGATTTCCCAGAAGCCTCTGCAGACTTGTCTGTATAACCTTTCACACAAGCATCCCATTTCCTGTAGCGGGATGGCTCTGTCATCTGGCTGTGTTTCCATGGTTTCCACACTGACTTATTTGCATACTTCTCCGAGAGTTCATTTTCCAGCGTTTCAGCTCCGCTCTGGGACCGTTCAGTTTACCTCGGGATTGTGTCCACTGTGGCTGCTCAACTGCTCTTTCTGTTAGTGCGGGCCCACTGTGGTTTTCCCTGTCTCTGTGTGGCTGTCAGTAACCCATGTATGACTGCTCATCTCTGCATTTAAGTCCATCTGAGGAAATGGCTCAGCTACTAGGATTAGTAAAGCCCTGGAAGACAAAGTGTAAAGTAAAGCGTCGTTGCTCTCACGTCCTGGGCCGTTTCCCCACTGGTTAGCCTTAGCGCCCATGTCCTTTTCTCCTCTTCTTCACCAGTGGCCGGCATCTCACTTGCACTTCCAAAAGCCAACACAGGAAGACTGTGGGCCTTATCTGGGTGTCTGACTTAGCCTCTGAAGGAAGATTTGGGTCAGGCTTTTAGCAGAATACTCACTGCTAGGGGGAGATGGCTGTGGGGAGGTGCTGGGAAGCCCCCCTCCTTCTAAGACATCTGGTAGCGCTGGCCAGCTGGATCCGCCGTGGGAAAGCCCAGGAAGCATGGCCCGCGCTGCGGTACCTGACCCCGCCTGCCTCCCCCGAGCAGAGCATGAGAAGGACAGGCTGTGCAAGAGCGCCGACTACATGAACCTGCACTTCAAGGTCAAGTGGCTGCACAATGAATACGTGCGGGATCTGCCTGCCCTCCAGGGCCAGGTGCCCGAGTATCCGGCGTGAGTCATCACGTGGGGGCTGCCGAGGGAAGGGGGGCTCAGGGGCTGGGCGCTGCCAGGATCCTGGCTGCCAGGCACGTGGCAGCTGCCAGCACCAGCTCCAACCTCTCCGTCTTCCTGCCTGGCTGCAGGTGGTTTGAGCAGTTTGTCCTGCAGTGGCTGGACGAGAATGAGGATGTGTCCTTGGAATTCCTGCGTGGGGCCTTGGAACGAGATAAGAAGGATGGGGTGAGTCAGGGGCTTGAACTTCACAGGTGTCTAGCCGGGTGTCCCAGCAATTAGCTGTCGGCAGGAGTGCCTGGGCGCTAGCCGGGATGGCCGTCCCCGCCTGGTGGAGCCCATCAGGAGGGCTGTCCAGGGCCGTGGCGCCACCCCTGCTGTGCAGGAGAGCCCTTTGGGGCCTGACAGATGTGGGACGAGGTCGCAGCTGCAGATGATGACGCTGTGTGTGGCCTTCCTCAGTTCCAGCAGACATCAGAGCACGCACTCTTCTCTTGCTCTGTGGTGGACGTCTTCACACAGCTCAATCAGAGCTTTGAGATCATCCGGAAACTGGAATGCCCAGACCCCAACATCCTTGCCCACTACATGAGGAGATTTGCTAAGGTACCGTGACCCTCCTACCCTTTTCCCCTTACTCCATTATACTCACGGCCTATCTACAGACCTGAGATCGACCCCTCTTTCTGTTGGCTTTTGGGTACAGCCCAGCGTCACCCCATGCTCCTTTACTTGAATCTGGGGCAGACAGGTGGGTTTTTTTCAGTGGGGTAGAGAGGGAGATTGGTCCCCTACTTTGAGATTTCTCTTTAGGTACATGTTGTTACTGTTCTGGGAGATGTGTGACCCCAGGTGCAATCCTCATGGGGAAAGCTAAGGGTCCCCTCTCCTTCCTCTTCCCCTTTCTTCTCAGACCATCGGGAAGGTGCTCATGGAATATGCAGACATCTTATCAAAGAACTTCCCAGCTTACTGCACAAAGGAGAAAATGGTGAGGACCAGGCTTTTTGCTTTTGAAACTGTCCTCAGAGCTGAGGGTGGGGTGATGCTCCTGACTTGTGATTCCCAGCAGGGCTGTGCTTTAGATTATGCCACAAAATAACAAAAACCTGATAAGGAGTTCCTTTGAGCCTCCATTTGGTAATTTATCCTCTGCTAAGCTAGACCTTTGCTTAGTCTTTCTTTCTTTCTTTTTGTTTTAAAATACAGTCAGAGAGTTATAAAGGGTAATCCCATGAACACCTGGGGCTCCCCCCATTCAGGATTAAAGCAGAAACATTTGCTTCTAGTCTTCATTTAAGGAGAGCTGTCAGTATTGCTTCCAGATCTCAGTGCTTAGGGAGAGACGGGTATAACACATGCTGTAAATTCCCTGTGGTTTTTGGAGTCATGTGAGAGAGGCAGGGGTCCTAGACTGTTCCGTGCTGAATGGAGCCAAGACTTAACACTTCTGTCTGTCCCCACAGCCTTGCATCCTGATGAACAACATGCAGCAGCTGAGGGTGCAGCTGGAGAAGATGTTTGAGGCCATGGGAGGCAAGGAGGTAGGGCTGAGGTCCAGGGTTGCCGCATTCTCCCTTTGTTCCCGAGCTCCTCAGCCGTAGAACTCTGCCCTCTCCTGACCGGGTCTGGACCTAAAGTTTAGCTTGGGGTTTGTACTGGTTTGAGCTGAGAGATTTGAGTTGGCATTGGGGTAGAGGCCCTCGGAGGGAGGGGTCGGGGCACAGGAGGGAAGAAAGGCCTAAGAGAACCAGCTGAGCCAAGCCTGCCTCCTGTGGATGCAGCTGGACCCTGAGACTGCAGACAGTCTGAAGGAGCTTCAGGTGAAACTGAATGCAGTTCTGGATGAGCTCAGCATGGTGTTTGGAAACAGGTCAGTGGCCCCAGAACACCCAGCCCTCAGAGCCAAGCGTGGTGCCTGGCCAGTCCTGGAGCCCCTGCCTCACCGGCCTCCACCCAGCCGCACCCTTGTGCACCTTCCCCTCTTCCTGCTGGCCTGCGCTGTCGGAGCCGCACCGTGTGTGTGCCGGAGCGGGACCGAGCCGCCGGAGCTGCTTGAGGGCCAGTGTGTGCGGGGACCGAGGAGGGCTGCACTGTGGGCGCATGTGTAGTTTCCAGGTGCGGATCGATGAGTGTGTTCGACAAATGGCTGACATCCTGAGCCAGGTGCGGGGCCCAGGGAACGCATCCCCCAACGCACGGGCCTCGGTGACCCAGGATGCGGACAGTGTGCTCCGGCCTCTCATGGACTTCCTGGACGGCAAGTGAGTACAGTACCCAGGGCTGTCCTGTGGGGACGAAGCAGAGAGGCGGTCAGAGGAGCTGCTCAGGGAGGGGTCTCTCGAACACTCAGCCCATCCTGACCCGCGGCCTGGCCCTGCAGCCTCACGCTTTTTGCTGCTGTGTGTGAGAAGACAGTCCTGAAGCGGGTGCTGAAGGAGCTCTGGCGGGTGGTAATGAACACGATGGAAAGGATGATTGTTCTGCCTCCACTCACCGACCAGACGGTGAGGACAGCTCCTTTCCACCTCCACCTGCTGTGTCCCTTACCCGGCTCCCTGCTTCCTGATGGGGTTTGCACTTCTCTGCTTTGAATGATTCTCTCTGCCCAGGGCACCCAGCTGATCTTCACTGCTGCCAAGGAGCTGAGCCAGCTTTCCAAACTCAAGGTGCTCTGGATACGTGGGGTCCTTCTGCAGCCAGGTGGGAGGGGCAGGGGTTGCCTGGAGGGGGGACATCTGAGCTCTGAAGACTGAAGAGGAGGAGGAGAAGGGCATGCAGCTGTGGGCTGACAAGTGGGGGACTTCATGACAGCCCCAAGCTATCCTGATGTTGTTGCTTTCTCTGGGGCTCCAGGACCACATGGTGCGAGAGGAAACACGGAATCTGACGCCAAAGCAGTGTGCCACCCTTGACCTCGCCCTGGACACCATCAAGGTGGAGAGCCCCTCCTCCAGGCTGTCTTCCTGCCCTACCCTCTTGGTCCTGGCATTCCACTCTGCCAGATTAGGGTCCCCTCGGGCTCTTGCCACCCCACATCCAGGACAGAGTGGTTTTTGTGTCTGTGTCTTTCTCTGTTACATCCACATTCCTCTTGGGAGCAACCAAAATGGTACCTTCTGTGTGGCCTCAGGTGAATCACCAAAGACCTAGAAGATTTGTTCTTGGCTTCTGAGGACACTTTAGTTCACTTAGTAACCTCATTGTCATTCTGGAATATTTCCCACTGGGAATTAATCTTCCAGATCCAATATCCCAGATCAGGCTAACCTCTTCATTTATGTTTAAAATCATTTGGGTTTCAAAGGGTATTTTTTCCTCCGACTATGCATTCATTTATTCAACCAGACAACATGTGTCCAGGCATTATACACTAGGAAGGATGCAGAGAGAATCAGATATGGTTCCTGCATCAGGATACTTATAATCTGGTATAATTTGGTAGTGACCAGACTATCATCTGGTATAAGGTGGTAATAAAGCAGGTACACATGGGCTGTGATTCAGGGCACTAGGGAGAGAGGTATGTCACAGGTATAAAGTGCTCTAAGGGCTCCCAAGGGTAAAGCACCACTTCTGACTGAAAAGCTGCTGCCTAAAAAGCTTCTATCCCATTTCTGTGCCTGTCCATGTAGATTCATCCATCAGACATCACATCCAGAAACGTGGCCATCCCTTCCCACTCCTGCCAGATGCTCACACAAGACTCTGCACCTGAGAGACCGAGCCCCTGGCTCTGTGTGGCATTCCTGATCTCGCTTATTGAATGACTCCCTATCCTCCTCTGGCATCTTTGCCGGCCTCTGCTTGGATGTCCTTTCTCTGAGGACATTGTTGGGGAGCTGCCTCTCTGAAGGGGGATGATGCAGTAGCGGCTATTCTTTGCACCGTGTGTGTGCCGGAGCGGGACCGAGCCGCCGGAGCTGCTTGAGGGCCAGTGTGTGCGGGGACCGAGGAGGGCTGCACTGTGGGCGCATGTGTAGTTTCCAGGTGCGGATCGATGAGTGTGTTCGACAAATGGCTGACATCCTGAGCCAGGTGCGGGGCCCAGGGAACGCATCCCCCAACACACGGGCCTCGGTGACCCAGGATGCGGACAGTGTGCTCCGGCCTCTCATGGACTTCCTAGACGGCAAGTGAGTACAGTACCCAGGGCTGTCCTGTGGGGACGAAGCAGAGAGGCGGTCAGAGGAGCTGCTCAGGGAGGGGTCTCTCGAGCACTCAGCCCATCCTGACCCGCGGCCTGGCCCTGCAGCCTCACGCTTTTTGCTGCTGTGTGTGAGAAGACAGTCCTGAAGCGGGTGCTGAAGGAGCTCTGGCGGGTGGTAATGAACACGATGGAAAGGATGATTGTTCTGCCTCCACTCACCGACCAGACGGTGAGGACAGCTCCTTTCCACCTCCACCTGCTGTGTCCCTTACCCGGCTCCCTGCTTCCTGATGGGGTTTGCACTTCTCTGCTTTGAATGATTCTCTCTGCCCAGGGCACCCAGCTGATCTTCACTGCTGCCAAGGAGCTGAGCCAGCTTTCCAAACTCAAGGTGCTCTGGATACGTGGGGTCCTTCTGCAGCCAGGTGGGAGGGGCAGGGGTTGCCTGGAGGGGGGACATCTGAGCTCTGAAGACTGAAGAGGAGGAGGAGAAGGGCATGCAGCTGTGGGCTGACAAGTGGGGGACTTCATGACAGCCCCAAGCTATCCTGATGTTGTTGCTTTCTCTGGGGCTCCAGGACCACATGGTGCGAGAGGAAACACGGAATCTGACGCCAAAGCAGTGTGCCACCCTTGACCTCGCCCTGGACACCATCAAGGTGGAGAGCCCCTCCTCCAGGCTGTCTTCCTGCCCTACCCTCTTGGTCCTGGCATTCCACTCTGCCAGATTAGGGTCCCCTCGGGCTCTTGCCACCCCACATCCAGGACAGAGTGGTTTTTGTGTCTGTGTCTTTCTCTGTTACATCCACATTCCTCTTGGGAGCAACCAAAATGGTACCTTCTGTGTGGCCTCAGGTGAATCACCAAAGACCTAGAAGATTTGTTCTTGGCTTCTGAGGACACTTTAGTTCACTTAGTAACCTCATTGTCATTCTGGAATATTTCCCACTGGGAATTAATCTTCCAGATCCAATATCCCAGATCAGGCTAACCTCTTCATTTATGTTTAAAATCATTTGGGTTTCAAAGGGTATTTTTTCCTCCGACTATGCATTCATTTATTCAACCAGACAACATGTGTCCAGGCATTATACACTAGGAAGGATGCAGAGAGAATCAGATATGGTTCCTGCATCAGGATACTTATAATCTGGTATAATTTGGTAGTGACCAGACTATCATCTGGTATAAGGTGGTAATAAAGCAGGTACACATGGGCTGTGATTCAGGGCACTAGGGAGAGAGGTATGTCACAGGTATAAAGTGCTCTAAGGGCTCCCAAGGGTAAAGCACCACTTCTGACTGAAAAGCTGCTGCCTAAAAAGCTTCTATCCCATTTCTGTGCCTGTCCATGTAGATTCATCCATCAGACATCACATCCAGAAACGTGGCCATCCCTTCCCACTCCTGCCAGATGCTCACACAAGACTCTGCACCTGAGAGACCGAGCCCCTGGCTCTGTGTGGCATTCCTGATCTCGCTTATTGAATGACTCCCTATCCTCCTCTGGCATCTTTGCCGGCCTCTGCTTGGATGTCCTTTCTCTGAGGACATTGTTGGGGAGCTGCCTCTCTGAAGGGGGATGATGCAGTAGCGGCTATTCTTGTCTTTCAGCAATACTTTCATGCCGGAGGCAACGGGCTGAAGAAAACCTTCCTGGAGAAGAGCCCAGATCTGCAGTCCCTGCGCTACGCCCTGTCTCTGTACACACAGACCACAGACACTCTCATCAAGACCTTTGTGCGCTCACAGACTGCCCAGGGTAAGGCCCAAGGGTTTCGGGTCCCCGCGCCCCTCCCTGAGATGTCTCTGCCCCTAGGGAGTGTCTCCAGTGGCCCTCAGGGACGCTCTAGGCACTTCTTCAGAAAGCCCTTCACACACAGACATCAGGATTTTCTTGATGGGCCCCAGTCCTTACCCCTACCTACCCCAGACTCATACCAGATAGGAATCCCAGAGATCTGGGAGATGTGCCTGAGCTTTCATTTCCCAACATCATCTGGCCAGTGCCTGTGTGTTGAGCTCAAGGAGTATACCCTGTTTGATAGGGAAAATGTGTGAGAAAGCCTTGAGAATGAGTGGTTAAGATACTCACGAAGTCTTGTAGCTTTGGGAGCCAAAGATTTCCCAGATTCTCCAGTGTGGATGAGAAGAAGACTAAGGGGGTGATCCGTGGGAGCACTTGAAAGGAGGGTGCAGATCACGGGGCTGTACAGACCTGAGGCTCCAGCCTCGTGGGTGATGCTAGTGCACGGGGCACCCAGGCAGCTGGTTCTTTCCCCACGATTTCCAGTTTTCAGGACCCCTCCCTGTCTCCAGGCAGGCCCATCCAAAACAAAACATCTGCACAAACATGGCTCAGACTGAAATTCAGACCCTGACCCTGAGGAGGTCCTCCTGGGAAGGACCTTCAAGGTGCAATCATTAATGGCTCCTTCCAGGGAAACCTAGGCATGCTGCCTGGAAGAGTGAACCTGGCAGGGGGCTGGAGGTGGGGAGGCTTAAGCCTTACTGAGCTGTGAACTGACCTGGATGGGAAGAGGGAGGGCATCTAAGTCGTTAGGATGGGGTTGATGGAAAGTGAAGAAATGCAGGGGGACCTGCAGTACTGTTTCATTTTCCATGTGTATTCTTATTTCAAGTCCAGAGTGAGGAGAAAGAGCAAAAGAAGTTATGAGCCTTGCTCAACAGACAGGGGGATCTTTCACAGAGTTGAGTATGTGTAAAGGCCCATAACATCAGAGAGGCTAGGAGTTAATCTAAAAGGCTTTTCAGAGACACTGAGCTTTGAGCTAGATACAAAGATGAGGCGAGACTGGAATGGGCACCTAAGAAGTAAGACCAGGCAAGGGTGGTGACCATAGGGAGTCTGCAGTCGTGTGTGTGTGTTCCACCCACTGCTTTGTTATTTAGAGCCTAGGAAATTAGGGCCTAGAGCTTTCTTTATTGTGTCCCGCCGGTCTCAGAAACCTGTATGTTCTACTGCCTTGTCTGTGATGTGCAAACTGTTAAGTATAGTTTGGAGCAGTCACTGGCCCCAGTCTCTCTCCACCCTGCTCCATCTCTGTGCTCCCTCGGAATAAGTGTAGTGCTGCTCTGGATGCCTGTGGACTTCTTGGGCTCTAACTGATTCTTCTCTCTCTGTCCTGCCGCTGCTGCCTCTTGGCTTGCCTGTCCTCACTTAGTGCACGATGGGAAAGGTATTAGGTTTACTGCCAATGAGGACATTCAGCCGGAAAAGGGTACGTTATACACCTGCAGATGTGAATCGAACACGGGCTAACACTGTCCCCTGTGAGCTAGAATGAGCTGCTTGAGGTGGGGCTGAGGGAACCAGATGTCAAAGGTCAGAAGTTCTATCCCAAGTCTCAGAGATGGGCAGTGTATTTGTACAGTCCGAGATGGGGTTAACAATAGTTGTCTTCAGAATTCCCCCACTGCTCCATCTGAGGACAAAAAATAAATTTTATCTGGGGTGTAGGGTACTGGGGTTTTCCCCAAATAGAGTGAGGCCTCTACTGAGGGGTGCCTGCAGACTGCCAGGGGACACTGGGGAGCTGTGTGTGGAGAGGCCTAGGTTTGAGTAGGAAGAAGTCACTGCATGCAGGGCAGCCCATAGGAGGTAAGGTGCTGCTTTGGGCTAGACGGGACCCGTATTGTTCTGCTGAGAAACCGCGGGGTGGCACAATATTCACACCAAAATATAGGATGGCGGCACTGTCCTTTCTCAACATCTTTCAATGAAAGATTCTTCAGCCCAGGAGATAAGAGAAGTCTGGAGAACCTGAGAGATTCCAGTTGTAGTTTTGGAAGAAGTTTCACCTAAAATGTTGTCACCCTGACTTGTATTTTAATACACAGCCTCATTCTTCATCTCCTTTCTTTTCCTTTCCCTGTGGCTCACATCTCCATAGCTTCTGTGGGTGACTGCTTCTTGCTTTAGGGTGTAGAATAGTAGCCTCCCAGCTATTGGTTTTACCTGGAGTAACTGGGTGTAAAGTCTTCCAGTTCTCCAGTAGGGAACCATCTGTCCCTCTGCCTGCCAGGCTCCGGTGTGGATGATCCTGTGGGAGAAGTCTCTATTCATGTGGACTTGTTTACACATCCTGGAACTGGGGAGCACAAGGTCACAGTGAAAGGTGAGTGGCATGGATGCACAGGCTTGAGACCTTTTCTTGCCCAGTGGCCCTATCAGTCAGGCAGGGACTGCTTATCCCGACCCTTCAGCCTAGCCCTTCTCCAAGGGGAATCCCAGCTGGGGGCTCAAGAACTGGGAATGCGTGTGGGTTGCCTCACAGGTTTCCATGTTTGTGTAGTGGTTGCTGCCAATGACCTCAAGTGGCAGACAGCAGGTATGTTCCGGCCCTTTGTGGAAGTCACCATGGTTGGCCCTCACCAAAGTGATAAAAAGAGGAAGTTCACAACCAAGTCAAAAAGTAACAACTGGGCTCCCAAGTACAACGAGACGTTTCACTTGTAAGTTATGGTTGGGAATCTGAAGGACTTTGGGATGGGAGTGATCTGTGGAATAAGAATTAAGAGAAGAGAGAAGGGATGGGCTAGATGGTGGCTGGGGTGAATTCATTTGAGGACGCCCTCATCTCTGGTCTCCTATCTTCCATCTACCCTGTGCTCACAGCCTCCTGGGAAATGAAGAGGGGCCAGAAGCCTATGAGTTGCAAATATGCGTGAAGGATTACTGCTTTGCACGGGAGGACCGTGTGCTGGGGCTGGCTGTGATGCCTCTGAGGGATGTGGCAGCCAAGGGCAGCTGTGCTTGCTGGTGCCCCCTGGGCCGGAAGATCCACATGGATGAGACAGGCATGACCATTCTCCGGATTCTGTCTCAGAGGAGCAATGACGAAGTGGCCCGGGAGTTTGTGAAGCTCAAATCGGAGTCTCGTTCCTTGGAGGAGGGGAGCTGAGCACCCAGGCTCCTGTGCCGACCAGAGGGCACCAGTTCCACAAGTCAGGGATAATAGGACTTACTACGTAGTTGTCTTAGATCCTCACAGTCAAGAGGCTGATTCATTCAGTTAGGAACGTTTAAGGAAAAATCTAGGGTGGTGTGAGTGTGGCTTTTCACAGAAAGGGTCTGAATCCCTGACCAGCAGGTCTGTGGTGCTAGGAGCTGGGCTGTGGGGCTTACCACACAGGGAGATTTTTCACAGAGGGGCAGACATTTCTGAAAGTGTCAGCCATTCTTGGTAGAGATCCTTCACTCCCACACCCTTTTCTCCCCCTCTCCATACCACACCTAATCCAGTTAGATCCATATGTACCAATCATTAGAGGAACACGTTTAGGGGGCCTGGAGCTTGTGCCTAATTAGGTAAGTAATCCGTTGAGTCTGCAGGTACTGCTGAGCCCTGTAGTCTGAGCTGGAGTATGGCCAGGGCAGGAACACACAGAATTGAATGCAGACCATCCCTTGAGCAGAACCCAGCAGTGTAGAGTGGCTCAAGGGAGTACAGGGCATTGAGACTGAACAAGATACCTTTCAGCAGTGAGCTATGCTCATCCCTTCCCCCAGATTAGCTGTCGTGAGTAGAACCAGGTTCACATGGTGCTTCAGAGGCCTGTGCAGAATTTCTTTGGAACCCAAGCACCAGGGGCCACCTGCCCAGGAGTCTCCCTACCTCACTCCTTTAGGAAGGGGAGTGATGCTTCAGGATATGAAAGGCTCTTAAGTATACATATCTGAGAGCTCGTTGAAGAATCCAGGAGAGAGGGCTTCTTCATAGCTAAACCCTGAACAAAGCCAAAAATTGTGGAAATAGTCTAGAAGGAGTCCTGTTCACCTATGGCCACGGCCTTCTGGTGGTCCTCGCCCTTGCAGACAGAATCTAGCCTTTGTCCTCACTCCCTGCGGGGGAGGGGGCTCAACACTCCCAGGGAGTCATTCGGACTTCCCAGGCCCTTGCTCAGAGATGTGACATGATCCTTCAATATCCTCATAGCAGCCTCTTGGACTTCTTGAGGACTCTGCATTAGCCATTACATGAAACAAGAAACGAAGCATCTTTGCTGTTTTAAATTGTATGTGCCATTGTTTCAAGAAATTATTGACTAGTCTGTAATAAATTATCTTGTAGCAGCCTCTGGGATCTGGTAATTCCGGTAAAGTGTGGAAAGCTGTGATGACTTTCTAATATAATGACAGATTTAGACCAGCGGCTCTTTCCTCCTCTCCGCAGTCACAAGCGGAGGAGCCTTTCCTAGGGGAAGAGGTGCGCTGGGGGGGGCGTGGCTGGCGGCGGGCTTGGGGCGGAGCGGTGTGGCGGGAGGCGGGGTCTCTCTGGGCTGGTTCGTGGGGCTCCCGGGCACCTGCGCAGAAAGGTGCGTTAAGATGGCGGTCGTTCCCTGGAGTCGACGGCTGCGGCGCGATGGTGAGAAAGAGGCGCCCGAAGGGGGCGCCCGAGGAGAGGTTATCACCTTCTCCCTCCCAAGACTGAAGAGATTGTGCCCGTCATATCGCACTCTATACTTCCCAGTAGCTGTCTGTCTTTATTCTTCTTGTAAACTGTTCTCCCAGTCCTCCCCATCCCCATACTGGAGTATATGGGTTTCCTAGATGCTTGAGACTTATCTGCCCAGATACCTAGCAGAGGGGACCTTCCCCCGCAGATTCCTTCCAGAGGGTATCCGTTTGTCTAGTTAGTAAAACAGATATCCCCCAGACCCCCAGTCAAGGTACATTCCTACTAACTCGAGGAGTTTTCTCTCCACTTTTCCAGCACTGTCCACAGAGTCTCTGAGAAGGAAGCCGTGAATCCTATGCCATATTTGACTTGAAAGTGGCGTGTTTGCTATCATTCCTCTCTCATATGGAGCTGGAAACCTACCCCATAAGCAAAAGTCAAACTCTGGCTGATAGCCTACAAAGACTTGCATTTTTGAATTAGTAACTAACTTTGAAAAAATATTTAACATTTAAAAAATGCATATTTCCTGCGGTGGGTGGGGGTGTGGAAAAGCTGTTAACTCATGTACCCAGAAAATGACAGGTGGTTGGAGCTCAGAAGCAACTAGCAAATTAGTTTTCTACAGTTTATATAGACTCCAGGGACTTCTGTGGTGGTCCAGTGGTTAAGACTTTGCTCCCAATGCAGGGGGAATGGGCCCAGGAACTAAGATCCTGCGTGCCACAAGTAATGGCCCCCCAAAAAAGCACTGAGTAGACTCCATTATTCCTTATTTTGTCATACTGGATTTTACTTTATTTACCTGGTGCCTGGGAGGCATTTAAGTTTGTAATTCCTGATGTAAGATTTTGGGTAATTTTCTGTACCACTACTCTGAGCTCTTAATGGAAACTAAAATCCAAAGAAGCTGGATATATGTTTACGTTATCTTTGGTTTCTGTGATACCCTGATTAGGATCAGAGATCATACTAGTAGTTAAAACCCAGGGTGAAGTCTGTTTTAAAGTGTTCTTTATAAGAGAATTCAATCAGAAAAACTGCAGATGGCTTCTTGGTGCATTTTTATCTTGAAGAAATCATGTGACAACTCCTCTCTGGTGGGGTCAGGCTGAGAAACAAGATGCTGTTTCTCTGAACACCTGGTTTTAAAAGGGCCTGACTTTGGTCTGTACTGAAAGTGATGTCTCAAAAGTGCTGTCTCCTTCACTCCAGACCACATAGATGGTAACTGTCCTCTCTGTGGGAAATAACAAGCCTTGTAGTATCGAGTTGGAGGTGTTCTGCAGACTGTATCTAATCAAAAGTGGAATAGAAGAAGTACCTTTAAGTGGACTTTTTAAAAAGCAAAATCATTTCTATCAGCATAAGTGTATAATTCACCTGGTCATTGTGAATATTTGGGCTAGCTCCGTGAATGAACCCCCCAACTCCTTTTCTTGAAGCAGCAAGGCTAAGCTAAAGAAGCAACGTGGAGTAGTGGAGGTGGTATTGAAGTGGGAGTCAGAAAACATGAACAGGAGTCTCCGCTCTGCTGCATACTAGTCAGGGGACCTTGACTTTGAACCTTTCAAAGGCTGTTTGCTTGTATCTGTTAAATGGACTACGCATCCCTGCTGTGTTTACCTCAGAGGGATCAAATGGGCTTTTTAAAATTGGAAAGCACTTTGAAAACTATACATTTTCTTTAGGTGTATAAGGGATTATTATCATTATTACAAATGACCCTCTGAGCTCTGATAACTTCCAGGGAACTTGTCTTTCTGTGTCCTGGATTCAAAATCAATAAATATGTGCTGTGTGCATCATATGTACCAGGTACTCATCGAGGCATGGAGCCTAGTATTGAACAAAGCAAAGCCCATATGGATTTAGGAGTCAGTAATCATGTTGAGTGCCCATTAGGTACCCAGTGCAGTATCACAGCCTGGCGAAACAGCAGGCAGAGTTTAGATGATGAGCTTAAGTCTTCAGCTGTATAGCCGTGAGTCTCCCTGTGTGAGCCTGACCCTTCCCATCTGTAAAGTAAGGTGCTTACAAGGCAAAGGCTTCCCTGGTGGCTCAGTCGGTAAGGAATCTGCCTGCAATGCGGGAGACCCAGGTTCGATCCATGGTTTGGGAAGATTCCCCTGGAGAAGGCGTTGGCAACCCACTCCAGTATTCTTGCCTGGAGAATTCCATGGATAGAGGAGCCTGGTGGGCTATAGTCCATGGGGTCACATAGAGTCAGACAGGACTGAGTGGTCAATGGCTTCCCTGGTAACTCTGCCTGCAATGCAGAAGACCTGGGTTCGATCCCTGGGTCAGGAAGACCCTTGGAGAAGGGAATGACTACCCACTCCAGTATGCTTGCCTGGAGAATTCCGTGCATAGAGGAGCCTGGCAGGCTACATGCAGTCCATGGGGTTGCAAAGAGTCAGACATGACTGAGTGACTTTCAGTTCAGCCAAGGTAAAGTCTAAGGTTCTCTTGAGCTAAAATTTGTTTGTTTGGAGATTACAATTGCTCAATTTCCCTGCAGTGAGTTTATTGTCCTGCCAGGATGCTAAGACTAACAGAGCCAACCAGTCTTAGAACTACAAGGACAACAGAGTGCCAATGTTACTGGAGTTCCAGCAGAATAGTAACAGCAGTGTTGCTCTGTGGGTAATCAAATCCTTAGACTTCTTGGGATACCACGTAGGCATGGAGAGATGGGAAGCATCAGATTAGAGGAGAGGAAGGAGACTTGATTGAAGACACTGGAAATTTAATGAGTGGAAGAACAAAGGAGAAGAACATGACATTTATTGTTTTCCTAGTGTATCAGTCAGGAGTCCTTATAGGAAAATAATTGGTGGATTCAAAAGAATTTAATCAAAGAGAGTTTAACCAAAGGATGATTTACAGACATATGATCATTGTTAACAGAAACTAAAAAGAAATGGTAAAACCCAACAGTGGTGAATCAGTAGCACTCCTACGCCTCAAGGGTAAGAAAGGGGAGTGTTGTTACCAGGGCCCAGTGAGAACTACAGTTTGGGAGACTGTCTGGCAGGAAGCTATAGCCATTAGTGTTAAGCAGGCATTATAAGGATTTAGACAAGGCAGCAGGAAGATAGAGAAATAAATGCCCTAACCTTTCTCCTCTTGCCCTCTAGTCTCCAGCTGGTACCTTCAATTGACAAAACCCAGACAGAAGCCTGGGGCAAGGTAGTTTGGATAATGTAGTTCATTGAGGTCAGCTTCCCAGAGCAGGGCAGAGGGAGTTGGCTGGGAGGAGGCCCAGCAAACAGAATAACCAGCATACAAGATATCTAGGGGAGGAAGTCACCACTATGGACTCTTTCCAAGGAAGTTATCCCTCTGTTCAAATTCAAAATCTACTCTTAGGCTTTGTCTCTTTAGCTGTCATTGTCCAAAATTTTACTCAGTCAATGGGAATGGCGGTGTATTGCCTTTGTCCTAGAGTGATTGTGAGGATCCTGTGATATGACACGTGAAAGTGCTTAGCACATGCTGGAGGCTCAGTGTATTTTAGTTCCTTCCTTAATGCATGTGCCTAAATGGCTCCTTGGCTGAAATGCTTTTCCAGTCAAGGCTTCAAAGGGTTGCTGGAACTGAGTGAATGAAGGGGAGAATACCAGGAGATGAAGTCGGAACTCTGTAGCCCACCGTAATGACTTTGGCTTTTAAACAGAGTAAGGTAGGAAGTCATTGGAAAGTTGTGTAGCTTCTGATATCAGGGTTTCTGTTATCCACTAGGGTATCACTTGTTCATTTAAAAATATTTATTTAGAACATACCACATGCTATGTACTGTTTTAGGCACTGGAGATGGTAGTCCCTACCCTCAAGGATTATGTGGTCTTTAAAGGAGACAGATGACTTCAACTTAAAGCGTAATATTAAGATATGAGTAAACATAGAAGCTCATAATAAGGACATCATCCTTGGGGCATCTGAAAAGCTTCCTGAGCAAGATGATGTAAATTCAGTCTTTTCCGTAGAACTTAGCCAAGTCTAAACAGAGGGAAATGAAGTTCTAGGAATTTAGAGTGATATGTGCACTTGGCACTTGGGTTTAAAAAAAAAAATAGTTGGTGATGAGCTGGAAATTGCAGGTAGCTTATATTACTGCATTTTGGCTTTGTGTAGGACAGTGGTTAGAGATAAAACAGAGAAGTAGGCAGAGGCCAGATCATGAAGAACTTATCCTAAAGGCAGTGGTGGGTTTTTAAGCAAAAAGATAAGTCACTATGGCAAGATGAAGAAGAGTCAGTTGAAGTGGGGTTTAGGTGGAAGGTGGGAACGAACAAAACTGCTGGAGACTATGAGGCTAATAATGGTGGCCTGAGCTTAAGTAGAAGCTTTGGGGATAGTGGTAGAGAACTATTCCAAGTTAACTTTTTATGAATGAGGGAGAATGTACAGAACTTCATGATTGTTAAGTGGGAGAATGAAAGAGCATTGTCAGAGATGACTCGGGTTTCTGGCATGAGCTACTAGGTAAATAATAAGACTAGTAATAGATGTCCAAAGACAGGAAATAATAAGAGAGAACACAAATTTGGGATGTGTGGGAGGTTGAGAATGGAGGTGATAATGTCAGTTTTGTAAATGTAGATTTTTCATTGTAAAATGCATGTTATGTTAAATATACCATTTGAAAGTGTACAGTTACATGACACTAAGTACATTCACAGTGTTTCACAACTGCCATTACTGTCTGGTTCCAGAACTTTTTTATATAATTGTGTTTGTTTATTTTGGGCTGCACTGGGTCTTTGTTGCTTCAAGTGGGCTTTCTCTAACTGCCGCGAGCAGGGGCTACTCTTGGTTGTGGTGCGTGGGCTTCTCATTCCCATGGCTTCTCTTGTTGCGGAGCACAGGCTCTAGGCACACGGGCTTCACTGGTTGCGGCACACAGACTGCATTTGGGCTTGTGAGCGCTACAGTAAGTGCAGACTCAGCTGTTATGTCGCAGCGGCTTAGTTGCTCCATGCTGTGTGGAATCTTCCTGAACCAGTGATTGAACCTGTGACCCCTGCATTGGCAGGCAGATTCTTACCCACTGCATCACCAAGGAAATCCCAGAACTTCTTCATCTGCGAAGAAGGAACGCCATCCCTATTAAACAGTCACTCCTCAATACATGTAGATTTTGAGGCAATTATGTGACATCCAAATACAGATGTGAAATAGATATTTGAATATGCACTACTGAAGCTCAGGATAAAAATTCAGGCTGAAGATACATATTTCTGAAGCATTAGCATACAGGTAAGGGGTTCTCAACCTGGGGCCTGTTGTCTTGAGTGAGAATCTCTGGAATGTCCAAACGCATATATTTCTGCTCTAGAACAGATTGTCTCTTTAGGTGACTAGCCATAACTTCATTCTGAGTAATCTTTTTTTGGCTGTTTGGTGGGTATAGAGAGTATCATTTACAAAGTCAACAATAGGGAGTTAACTAAATTGCCATAATTTACAAGTGTGTGTGTATCCAGTATAAAGTGTGAAAATGAAAGTCACTTAGTTGTGTCTGACTCTTTGCAACCCCATGGACTTCTTCAGGTCAGAATACTGGAGTGGATAGCCATTCCCTTCTCCAGGGGATCTTCCCAACCCAGGGATGGAACCCAGGTCTCCCACATTGCAGGCAGATTCTTTACCAGCTGAGCCACCAGGGAAACCCAAGAGTACTGGGATGGGTAGCCTATCCCTTCTCCAGGGGATCTTTCAGATCCAGAAGTCAAATCAGGGTCTCTGGCATTGCAGGCGGATTCTTTACCAGCCGAGCTACCAGGGAAGCCCAGTATAGTGCAGACTTTCTGATACACAAGCAGTTTTCAAAATATTAGATCTGAACAGCATCAGCATCCCCTGTATTTGTAAGAGAGATGAATTCTTGGGCACCACCACAGACCTGCTGAATTGGAATCTCTGGTCAAGGGCCAGAGGTGGGGGAGGGGGTCACAGCCACCACGTGATTCTGATGCATATTAAAGTTTGAGAAAAACTGTGGTGGACTGTTCCTGGCCAGCTCTTTCAGTCCAGTAATAAAACATGGACTTCCTGGTTTTCTCGTTATCTTTTATGTAACAAAATCTTCATGGCAACATTTTGCAATGGCTGATGAATTCCTCATGAAAAAGTTCTCTTTGAGTACTCTTGTCCATCTGTGACCTTCTCTGTCATCCCGAATCATAGATACAAATATTAGTACCTACATGCTATTTCCCTCTTTAGTGTGCAGGAGTTATCTTCAACAACTGTAAAGATTGTTTATTTATAGATAACTGTGTCTGTCTATAAATTGTAGACTGTTCAGTGGAAAAGAAAATATTTCTGTGAATACCTTTTCTTTTCTATCTAGTCCTTTGTCTTGGAATCTCCCAGTCTTCTGCTGAGTCATATCCTTGGCTTTGGAGAATATGAAATGAATCTCACTGAAATTGCACCATTCTTTGTTCTCTACCCCTGTCAAGGAATATTCAGCTGCATGGCCATGTGTAGAGATGCAGTAGCTATATTCAAATCCTTGTGTCCCCTGGAATAAATAGCCATAGTCAGGAAGAAATTAGAAGCCACCGACTGATTCTGAAGAGAATTAGACTTTGTCATCAAGGCCAGTCAAGGAAAGTTTTCAGTTTCTGCCAATCCAAGGGTTAAGTCAGGCAGTGCAGTATTTTAGTTGTCTCTGTCTTTCTAAGAAGACTACACTAATTGAGGGCATGGATGATATTTTTTTTGCATTTTTGACCATGTCTTAACTAACATGTACTAGGCACTCAATAATCACTTGCCAAATTTAATTTACTTAATCCAGAAGGTAGAGTATAAAAATTTAAATTCTGGCCCTACCTTTAAGCCACTGGAAGTTAACTTACTTGACCTTTGATTTCCTCATCTGTAAAACATAAGTCTTGCCCTGCCTACTTCCCCTGTATAAAAATCTAAAGAGAAAATGTATATGAAGTACTCTTTAAAAAGATACAGAGATCTGAAAATGTGAACTTACATAATAATTTGATTTGTGTGCTCTCTACCTTAGAGGAACAGTTGGTTCATTCTGATTGAGGAGAGAGAATGATATAGAATGGTGAGCTAGCAGTTGAGAGATACTGGTTTGAATCCTGATCGCCTTTAAATTCTTTGGGTCTTAGTCTCCTTTTATCTTGAATGACAGAGCACAGATAAGGTTACTGCAGTGGTTCTCAGCTTTGGATATATGTTGGAATCCCCTGATACTGAAAAATACAACTTGCATAGACTTGATTTAGTTGGTCTGGGATGCATGCTGGGTCTCGAGATTTTTTTTTTAACTCCCCTTTATTTTAAATCAGCAGAGCTGTTTATTCAGTTTAAATTTTACACAGGAATCCAGGTTACAAAACATCTATCAGTAGGACTTCTGTAGTCACTTTTTTAGGACTTTAAACTCTGACTACTGGTTCCTTTTTCTGATATCCCATTTTATAACTCCTATGGCTTCATGGAACACTGATAGAAAACCATTGAAATAGACAATATCCAAGATCTTTTCCAGTTCCCAAACTAGGTTTTGGCTCTATGTCTACTCACAAGATCTCTGTGCTTTTTCTTAACACCAGCCTGACTTGGAGGTTAGCTTTCCATTTACTTCCTTTTGATTACCCTGGCCCTTTTGCTCCGAGGCCGTGAGTAGTCTAGAATTCAATAGGCAAAAGCACCTCTAGGGTATCTTGTTGTCATACCTCCCCCGATCCAGTACATCCGGGGTGGGGGCCAGATATCTGTATTTTCTACAAGGATTTTTCAGTTGTCTTTGAAACAACTGATCCATGAATGATACTTTTGGGAAAGATTGTCTTAAGGGATTTTGGGTCAAATGTAAAGCAGTAATGAATGATGAAATGCAGGGTCATAGTAGAACACTGGATTTCATCCTGGACTCAGTGCCAGATCTATCAGAGGAGCATCTGGGCATTTAAGGCTCTAACCTATACTTCTGAACCAGGCATGTGACCAGAATTCTCAGTAACCACCACAGATGCCTACTTGACAATCACCTCTTTTTAAAAATCACTTATTAAGTTTTATAGAAAGAACACAGCTGAGCATCATTCTGTTGGACAGTCACCTCTTCATTTGGGGTCATGTGTATAAGAAGGATGATATAGAATCATGGTCACCAGGAGTCAGGCAAGTGAAGGGAAGTGAAGCCACTCAGTCGTGTCCAACTCTTTGCAACCCCCTGGACTGTAGCCTACCAGGCTCCTCCGTCCATAGAATTTTCCAGGCAAGAGTACTGGAGTGGGTTGCCGTTTCCTCTCCAGGGGATTTTCCTGACCCAGGGATCGACCCTGGGTCTCCCGCATTGCAGGCAGATGCTTTACCATCTGAGCCACCAGGGGTCAGGCAAGCAGGATTCAAATCTCTATCATTGTGACTCTACAACTCTCTGATTGTATGTCCCTGAGCACGTCTTAAGCTTAAACCTCGGATTTTTCCTCTTTTAAAAGGAATAATACCCTCTTGTTAGGCCCAGATTTTAGTAAAAATTAAACAAGATGATCTGCCTAAAGCATGTAGGAAAGTATCCAGCTCACGGTAAATTTTGTCAAATTGTAGGTATTATTCTATCAGCAGGGCCTGAGCTAACTGACAAAGAGTTTTTTGTTTTATTCTTAGGTGGTGTTTCTCTGAGATTAAATATATAAAACCTTTTAATTCAGGTAAGTGCTTAGCTCATGTCTGCTGAGATACCCAAAGTTCAGTAATCAACAGTAGTATTTGCTTAGTACTACACTGTGCCACGTTCTACTCAGAAAGCCAGGAAATTGGCAACTTGTGCTCTCAGAGCACTCATAGAATTGAACTGAGGTGACCAAGAAGCTTCTAACAATTTTGAATTTCCAAGAAACTTCCTGGTACAAGACTCAGACGACTTCCCTCTGACCTGGCTTGAGACAATTTTTGGCTGCAAAGGTGGGAGGAAAAAAAAATTATAGAGTTGAAATTATTATAGAAAGTTTTTGGTTTTAACCACTGATGACATTAATTCACATTTGAGAGGAATGTTTCAGTGTTCTTTTTAGAGGGCAGTGAGAGGGATGTTCTACCTATAGACTTGAGGCAGACAGGTAAGTGCTTTAATTTTGAAGGTATATAAGAGAGAAAGCCAAAGATCTGCTGTGAGAACCATAGTGGAAGTGTCTTTCAGTTCAGTTCATTCGCTCAGTCGTGTCCGACTCTTTGCGACCCCATGAATCGCAGCTCGCCAGGCCTCCCTGTCCGTCACCAACTCCCAGAGATTACTCAAACTCATGTCCTTCGAGTCGGTGATGCAAAAGCTAAAGATGAGAAAGTGTTTTTCATATATGAACTTGCAAGAGGAAATAGAAATAGACCAACAGAAACTTTCACTTGGCTAATTGAATTAATTGGGATTATTAACATTCTATAAAATGAATCATGATTTGAATACCCCTTCTGTCAGTAGTTCTTTTTCCATGTGAGTTTAAGGTAGGATGACTGAAAGGGTTTTGTTGAACTTGTTTCTCTTTTTATAGAGGCCTAACTTAGCAACTAATTTCTTCATCACTGGACCATGCAACTTTGCATCCTTAGTGTGATAATTTGTCATATTAGTGTCATTTTCTGATATGGCTGTTTTGGAGAAAGCTTAGACTTTCTACCAAGGTCTGGAACTAAACTCTTGACATAATTCCAACGAAATAACTATTGATTGTTGTATGAGAGGATTCTCTCTAACAGAAGAAAAATTTTCTCTTGTAGTTCTTTGTGGACATACATGCTTTTAAAGAATTTGAAAAACAATAAAAGAGCTATAGGGTTTCCAAAGAGTGTGTGTGTGTTTGAGGAGGAGAGGGAGTTGTTTTGGGTTTGGTAAAACAAANCTATTGATTGTTGTATGAGAGGATTCTCTCTAACAGAAGAAAAATTTTCTCTTGTAGTTCTTTGTGGACATACATGCTTTTAAAGAATTTGAAAAACAATAAAAGAGCTATAGGGTTTCCAAAGAGTGTGTGTGTGTTTGAGGAGGAGAGGGAGTTGTTTTGGGTTTGGTAAAACAAATCAGTTCCATTCGAACTACACTTGTTATAATTTTAAAAGCTGAGCTTTGAAGGATGGGTGGATGGATTTTAGCTGAATAGAGGAATGTGACAGTTGTATAAAAGAGAATTATCCTGAGATTGAGAAGGGAGAGTTGTTTAATATTTCTCATGAAACCTTATGTAGTTTGAATTCTTTTTAAGCTTATGTATACTCCATGTACATGCAAGAGGTTATATACATTTACCCAAATATTGCCATTAATGTCTGCATTTTGTGGCTTTCCAAATCCTATGGTGTTTGATTTGACTGTAATTTTCTAACATATGAAATTTCACTCTTCTTGGCCTGTTCATAATCTGTTTTTGTCTAGTGATGGCATCAGCACATTTGTGCCTTTACAGACATGCTGTCTGGTTAAGATCTATGCCCATCTTTGTCTTGCTCTGTCTTTATGGGAGCCTGTAGTATTTACCTAAACACATTTTTAGACCTGAAGCTGTTTTCGCTTAATGTCCTTTAATGTAGGCTGTTGGCATAGTGCCAAAGCATTGTTCCGTAAAAGCCAGTCTAAGTTTGGGGCATAACAATGAGATTGAGGTAAGACTTTGATTGTCTGCCTCAATCCAAGGAAGAACAAATTTTACAGTATGTAAAGAGTCTTAGCTCTTTTAAAAAAACAAACAAACAAAAAAACCCAAAGCATATTAAGAAAGTTTTAAAAGCTTAGGACCTCTCCTCAGAAAAAATGCACAGGTATAGACCATTTTAGAAGGTTCACAAAGTTTCTAGAGTTCATCTGTCAAGCCTTGGCATTAAAGAAAAAAAAACTAACTAACTCATACTAAGAAGTGGACAAGGTGTATATCCTTCAAGTAATTCTGCATAAATATTGTATCTCAAGCTTTTAATTTATATTGAACATCATTAAGTTTAGAGTTATACCTGAAGTGAAGATAGTCTATATTCTAGAATTGTGTGCTTTATCTGTCAGATCTTTCTTAGAAGAGAGCACTGGCCCAAACTGAGGGTTTTAGAAACAGGACTGAATTAAAACAAAACAAAACAATTCACATCCCCTGCGTTACAAGGACTCCTAATCATAGGACCACCAGGGAGGTCCATCTTTCCATCTTTAAAATGGAAACTCTGTACCCATTGAACTCCACTTTCTCCCAATTGCCAGCCCCTGGGATGGCAACCACCACTCTTCTTTCTGTCTCTATGAATGGGACTACTCTAGGTGCCTCATAAAAGTATAATCATACAGTATTTATCTTTCTACAACTGGCTTATTTTACTTAACATAATGCTCCTAAGGTTCATCTATGTTGTAGCATGTCATAATTTCCCGAATAATCTTTTGTTATATACATCTGTGTGTATGTGTGTTGTTTAACATGTCACATGTTGTTGAACTGTCTGTCAATGGATATTTGGGTTGCTTCTGCTCCTTAGCTATTGTGAATAATACTGCCAAAAGCATGAGTATTCAAATCTCTCTTTAAGTCCCTGCTTTCAGTTCTTTTGGATATATATCCCAAAGTAGAATTGCTGCGTCGTATGCTAATTCTGTTTTTAATTTTTTTAAGAACCACCATATTGTTCTCCGTATCAGCTGCACCATTTTACATTTCCACCAACAGTGCACAAGGATCCTGATTTCTAATTGCATTCTAATTTCTCCACATCTTTGCCAATAGTGTTTTTTTCTTTTTTAAAAAAATAGTAGCCATCCTAATGAATGTGTTGGAGTAGGTTTTGCGCACAAAACATAGGAAGACATCCTGAGACTATGGTACATTTTAAGAGCCTTTGAATGCACCAGTGTATGAGGAGGGAGCTGTTGAGGACACAGGGCAGATTCAGATACCAAAACCACCTAAACTGGGGATAAAGTTGATAGCCTCCTCATGAAAATTAAGGGACCTCTAGGTATATAATCACTATACAAAAATCAAAAGTTTTCTTAGTCAATAGCAATTATCAATTAGAAAATATAATAGAGTCCATTCACATTAGGAAAAAAAATCTTAAACTGTCTAAGAATAAACATAAAAAAAATGCAGAAAACTAAACTGTAAGACTTTACTGATAGACAAAAAGATGGCCTGAATAAATGACAAAATATAGGCATGTTTGTAGATGGAAAAAAATTCTGAAACTATGTACTTTATTTGTATAAATGTGCATAAATGCAAAGTAAAAGTTATGGAAAGAGGAATAGCAAACCGTTAACAGTGATTCTAGAAAGGGGAGTGGGATGTAGTGGTGGATATTATGAAAAGGGACTTTAATGTTTTATTTTGTATACCTCTGTCTTGTGTGAGTTTTAAAAATAAGAATGTACTAATGTATTATTTGTGGGGGGGGGGGAACTTTCTTAAAGTAATGAAAATAACTTGAAATATTTCATGGCCTTTTACTTCTACATAAAGATGGAGTAATCTATTTCTCACCGTGTGTAGAGCCCCAGTCCCTAGGCTTTTTGGAAGGTATTCAAAGGGAAAGAAAATACAATTCCCATACTTCAAGATTATAGATTGAAAAAAAAAAAGATTATAGATTGACAAGAAGTTAAGGCTGCCAAGCATCACCGACTCAATGGACATGAGTTTGAGTAAACTCTGGGACTTGGTGATGGACAGGGAGGCCTGGCATGCTGCAGTCCATGGAGTTGCAAAGAGTCAGACATGACTGAGCAAGTGAACTAAAGACTCCCAAAGAGTAGAATGGGAGAAGTAAGTACATAAACATCAGTGAATAAACATCACTGGAAAATAAATGATTTTTTCAGATAACAAAATTTATTTTCTGTTCAGCATGTTTCTGTTCTAACCATTTTAGACGAAACACTTTCTAAAATTTGTTAGATGTTTTCTCACTTTCTTAAATAGAATATACTAAACAAATTTTAACCTTTATTTTGATGACTCAGTGTTACATGTTATGATACTGTATTATTTCTAGCGCCTTCTGGAGCTATTGAATTGTATGTGGCTTTTATTACTGTCGTTTTTAAAACATTTGTTTATCTATGGCTGGGCTGTGTCTCCGGTGCTTTGTGGGCTTCTCTCTAGTTGCAGCGAGCAGGGGCCACTCTTGGCTGCAGTGTGCGGGCTTCTCATTGCAGTGGCTTCTCCTGTTGAGGAGCACAGGCTTTCAGGTGCGAGGTTTCAGGAGCTGCAGCTCCTGGGCTCTAGAGCACAAGCTCAGTAGTTGTGGTGCATGAGCTTAGTTACTCCGCAGCCTGTGGGAACTTCCCCGAACAGGGATCGAACCCACGTCTCCTGCTTTGGCAGCAGATTCTTTACCACTGAGCCACCAGGGAAGCCCCTTTTATTACTGTATTAAATAGCCCCTCCTTGCTTGAATTGAAATACTTTAGTGCATAAATTTCATGTCGTCTACCTTGGCTGTTCAACGGTTAATTGTTGCTTACCACCAGCTCTCTGCCGAACATGAACGTTATGGGTAAGGGGCTGCTGTAAGACAAAGTGACTGCACTTCAGGGAAGACAAGAGAAGAGGGCTTCTTCTCTATTCATATTTACTTCTCACAGTTCTTCTCCCCACATTTTCCCTGCCATTCCTGGTTATCCCCTAGTTGTTGGTATACATTTTTATATTAATCATAATAATGTGGTGGTTAAAAATAC